GGGGGAGGGGGGGGAGAGGGGGCAAAGCAGCGGGGTGGGCCTTGGTTGGATTGAGAATGGAAGCACCGGTGGGGGAAGGGAGAGAATCTTTCCAGATGTCAGGTAGAGATTAGACGATGAACCGTGGGGTATCGGTGCGGATTGGCAGGGGAACGAGAGAGAAGGAGGAGAGGTTTGATCATCATCACCCTTGGCAAGTATGTTAGTATGGGCATAATCTGGCTTTGCTGGGGTAAGCCAGAGATCACCTACAATAAATTCTTCGATCTTTGGCTAGCATAGGTATAGATTTTCGGATTTCTGGTATGGTAAATTCTTCGATCTTCAAGTTTTTCCATTCATTAGTAACACCTTGCTCTATTGAATTTCCTCAACTACACATACAATCCAAAACTTCAAATTTCGGAGTAAATTTTGAACGCCAGACATCATCTGACTCATTATACAAAGTATACATACAATCAAAAACTTAAAATTTCGGAGCAAATTTTTGATGCCAGACATCAGCAAATAAACCAAATTTCAAAAATCTGTCGTCATGTAGTTTTCAGAATTTGGTTTTTCTGATGATGTCTGGCATTCAAATTGTCTTCAAATCTCGTCATGCAGTTTTCAGCATTTGGTAATATTTCGAAAATCTGTCTTCAAATTTTATCCTGGTTTTAGTTTGTCGTTTTCAGAGTCGTAGATATTCCATTTCAGCATCTGGTAATGTTTTTTTCTGACTATTGTATCCTGGTTTTATTTAGTTTTGTAGGACGATCCCAATTATCATCTGGTTTTACTATTGTATGCTATGGTCATTTGAGGCTTTTGAGCTGTATCAGGAGCAATTTTCAGTCCAGATACACAGCAATAATGACCAGTCATTTCACTATTGTCTGCTATGGAGACTAGACGAAAAACTGGATCATCATGTCGAACCGGCTTTAGTCATTTTACTACTCGGTTTCAGTTTGACGAGTCGTGAATCAGATCACCAGATCATCAGATCATCAGGCTTTATCATTTTGCATACTACCGTCTAAGCCAGAACAGAACGCCTGGTCATTTTAGCTGTATTAGGGGCAATTTTCAGTCCAGATGCCGCGAGAATGACTGGGCGTTCTATTCAGGTGAAGACGGTAGTCAGTCTAGATAGCCTTGATCTCTTTTGATTATCTCGTGTATCAACTCGGAAGTGTTATTCGAGTTCACATGGGGTGCTGGATTTGTCTTCCAGCACGGTGCTTTTGATCTCTAACGACTTTATTTTGCCATACGACTAAACTTCTTTCTGTAAAAACCCGCTCCACAAAATGGAAGTTTCATTTTGGGTTTTCACTGAAATGACGAGAGGCACATCAAACCCATGACGGTTGAAATCCATGTTACAAATGGAAGCCTTGGGCACTGGGTCCCCCCCCTTCTATAAGAAAAATGCACCTCAGGCCCTCACAATTAAAAAAAGATGAAAAGGTTTCAAGCAAATCACACAAGTACTCGTCAGGTAACCAATCCACAGTTTTCATAACCTTGCTAGGCAGGCCGCGGTCATTTTACCTGTCCTGGTCCACCTCCAAACCCGCCATCGGGATCCTGCACAGGAGCAGACAAGCAACGCACAAGAATGCAATCAGCCAGATCCCAGTGCTCTGCTGCTAAAGCACCATGTCGAAAACACACACACACACACACACACACACACACACACACACACACGCACGCACGCACGCACGCACACACACACACACACACACACACATGCACACACACACACACACACACACACACACACACACACACACACACACACACACACACACACAGAGAGAGAGAGAGAGAGGAGGTTCCTACTTTATTCTTGGAGTAACAGCAACCCAATTCTAAGAGTTATCGCACCCACACCATCCCTAATAAAAAGGAAGGGAACAACAGCCCGAGCCTGAGCAGTCCGAGCATGAGCTTGTATACCGACCCAATCAACAAGAGGACAGCAGTCGAAGCCTGAGCAGATCATTCGAGTCTGAGCTCGTTATGACCCCAATGGGCCCAATCCATATACACGAACAGCAGTCCGAGCCGGAGTTCTGGCACCGTCGGTATCCTCGTAATAGAGTGGGATTATAACCTAGTCGCCAGCAACAGTCTCTAATTCTGCCACGTGTCAAGGTCTTACCGAGGAAGGGAGGCTAGGGGTATACACGTTGGCAGCAGCAGCCAGAAACGGCCTTGGACTACACTGGGAACAGATGCGTCCAAGGTACACGTGTTAGCAGATAGTCCACTCCCCCGAGAGACATAACAAGCCTTGGACTTACCACCTGTCAAGCGCAACCTCGAGCCACATGCGAATGCCAAGGGCCAAGTATGTGTGATGCTGCACCCCATTAAAGGAGGAAGGGGGAGAAGATACAGGAACAAGAGACGAAGAAAAGGGAAGAAGAAGAAGATAGGCTAAGCAGAATAAAAAAGACTGAGTTCATGTTCCACCTCATAAAAGCTTCAGTAATAGAGCTGGAACCCAGATTCACTTAAGAAAGAAAGATATCCCCCTACGGTACGGGAGGAAGGAGGACCAGGAGGAGGAGGAGGAGGAGGAGGAGGAAGAGAAACAGAAAGAGGCGAGAAGGAAGGGCCAAGGAAAAATAAAAAAGATTCTGAAGACCAGGGCGATACAGGTGGAGGACGGAGGAAGGGGAGTGTGGGGAGGAGGAGAGGAGGAGAGGAGACGAGGAGAGGAGACGAGGAGAGGAGACGAGGAGGAGGACGAGGAGGAGGAGGAGGAGGAGGAGGAAGAGAAACAGAAAGAGGCGAGAAGGAAAAATAAAAAAGATTCTGAAGACCAGGGCGATACAGGTGGAGGACGGAGGAAGGGGAGTGTGGGAGGAGGAGAGGAGACGAGAGGGGCAGGAGCAGGAGAGGAGGGAAGGAAGAAAGGAGGAGAGGAGAGGAAGAGCAGGAGAGGAAAGAGGAGGAGAGGAGAAGAGAAAAGAAGAGAAGGAGAGGAAAAGAGGAGGGGAGGAGCAGCAGAGGAGCAGAGGATCAGTAGGGAAGGAGAGGAGGACAGGAGGACAGGAGGAAAAGAGGAAAGGAGGAGTGGAGTAGGAGGACAGGAGAGAGAAGAGGAGGGGGAGAGAAGGAGGAAAAGAGGAGCAGGGGAGGGAAAATTGCACCAAGTTTGGGTGTAGAATGAGATCCCTCGCTTATGTAGCTGTTTGACTTTCACCCAGAACCCGTCTTAAGATGTACCTGTCGTATTAAAAAAAGAAAAAAAAAAAGAGGGGAGGACAGACGTACCTGACATCTATATAAGTAATCAAGGCACCGATCTGCCAATTGAGGATCCAGCCATTCACCAAGAAGGGCAAGCGAATGGGTGATCCAGTAGCAAAGCCAAGTGCGGCTGCAGCAATCAACATATACGCACGCACACAGCAGAGAAAAAGATGCAGACTGTTATACTAAAGTTAAATAACACAAAAAGAATACAGCACGTGAAAGCAAACACTCAAACACCATCACGAAAAATGTGAATATGTAAGTTCAGAGGTGAAAGCAATCAACGAGTTCTTGTTTTCACTTAATGGAATATTCCATCCGATTCCATTAAGTGAAAACAAGAAGTCAAATACCATCCACATTCCAGAAAAGATAAATACGAGCTCAGTTCATAATGCAGTGTGCTCATCATTTGTCTCTTTCGCCGTCTTTGTAATCAGGGTTACGCTGAACCTCGCTCCACTGCTCAACATTCTACATGTATTCAAAAATGTTGGACACGTTCAAACGTATCTCGTCCATACGGACGTCCAGATACATTTAGAATCTTAAGCAGTGGAGCGCGGGCCATTTTCATTCCTCTTCTCTCTTCCGGGAGGGTGGGTGGGTGGCCAGGGGGAGTTGGAAGGGGGGGGGGGGGGGGGGGGGGGGGGGGGGGGGGGGGGGGGAACGTCGGGTTGGGCAGGGCGGGTGAACAGGAGAGGGGTGGGAAATGGGCAGGCGGAAAGAGGAAGGGAGAGGCCAACGGGGAGGGAAGTTGGAGATCAACAAGATAAGGACGGAGGTGGAGACGGACAGCATCTGAGATGACAACGGAGACGGAGGCAGATGAAAACGGAGATGGAGATGGGAAACAGAGATCGAAACGGAAACGGAAACAGAAACGAAGATGAAAACGGAGATGGAAACGGAGATGAAACGGAGATGAAACGGAGATGAAACGGAGATGGAGATTGGAGGAGATGGGAGATGGGAGGAGATGGGAGATGGGAGGCGGTGACGGAAACGCAGATGGAAACAGAGATGGAGACGGGAAACTGAGCTAAGAATAGAGATGAGAAACGGAGATAAGAAACGGAGATAAGAAACGGAGATGAGAAATGGAGATCGGAAATGGAGATTGACACATGGGAAACGGAGATGTGGAAATGGGAAACAGAGATGGAGATGGGAAACGGAAATGTAGATGAAAATGGACATGGAGGCAGCTGCAAAACGGAGACGGAGATGGGAGATGGAGCTGGCGATGGAAACGCAGAGGAAAAACGATATGGGAAACGGAGACGTTGAGATGGGAAACAGAGATGTGGAGATGAGAAACCGAGATGTGGAGATGGGAAACGGAGGCGGAAATGGAGATGAAAACGGAGATGGAGGCAAATGGAAACGGAGATGAAATCGAAGACGGAGGTTGAAGATGGAGATGAGAACCGGTGTTCAAAACGGAGACGGAGGGAGATGGAAAAAAAGGCAAGAGGAAGACGGAGGCACAGAAAAAAGGGTGCAGATGGACAGGGAGATGGTAATCAGAACGGATAAGGACCTACTAGATGAAGGTTGAGATAAAAGGCCTCGCCACACGGCACACGAAAAGAAAGAAAAACGAGCGCATCTGCTGCCCACATAGGTGGCAAACTACTTTCGCTACTATTTTTAGTAAATTGATATTTTTAGTAGATTGATGAACCATTCCATTTTCTTTGGGAAGATGCGTTCGTCTCGTTTATCGTGTGCCGTGTTGCAAGGCCCAAAGAAAGAGGGATGGAAGAGCAGCTGGACAGATCCAATCAATAGGCAAAAAAAAACAGAAAAAGTAGGTGACGAAGGAGGCCGGGGGAGGTTGGGGGAGGCCGCCGGGAACAGTCTGACGCAGAGGGGGATTGATACAGACGGATGAATAAGTAGAGATAGAGAAGGGAGAGGAAAGGAAAGGCACAGACTCAGATAAAGAAGACGCGGAAGAGAAGGGTTGAGCACAGAAGAAGAAGAAGAGAAAGTGCGAGACATGAAATAGAAGAGCACGGCGAGGCATGAAGGCAAGCGAAGAGCAATCCTAAGAAGGAGAGAGAGGGAGAGAGGAGAAAGAGAAGAAAAAGGAGAGAGAGAGA